GAGGCCTTCATACATCTTTTAAAATATGATTTCTTGAGTGTAACATATTTAGCTGAATAACTGCAAGAGGCCTAATTCTCTCTATTGTCAATGAGAGTTACACATTTGCTTGGAGATGAGAATAGGTCCTTTCATGCAGAATTCTCTATTGATATCAATGGGAGCTCTCTGTTTCTTCTCCAACTCACCACACCCTACTCCAATTTACAACTGCCATACCTCCCATTCAAAGTCAATGGGAGTTGAGTAACTGTGCCTTTATAAACCTACCCCTACATAATTCCTGAGTAACCACACTAAGAGCAGAATTTGACTCTAAAGTTTTTTGGTATATCTCCTTCTAGAGTCTCCTCCCACCCAAGTCAATGGCAGCATGATTGGGCCCTGCATTTGCTAACTGGTTTTTTCCTCAACTAATATTTCTGTCACATCATATTGTATATATTTGATTTATGTGTGTTGTTCTTATATTTAATCTGTGCCTGTTTAGTCACATTCACTGCCATTTTGTATTTATTTAGCACTCTGTTTTGAGCAGAAAGGTAACTGTGGTAGATACGATGTGACAAGTTGCAAATACGTATTCTGTGCAGATCTGTTTTGCAGCTGTTGACATACAGGGCTTTGGAATGATGGGATACTGTGTTTTGCATTTGACAATTTGTTATTGGACAAGTTATTTACCCAATAGTTATTTTATATAAGAGTATTTTGCTGTAGCTGTGAGTTCTCTGTAAAGCAATATTTAACAATTCTTATTTATTTTACTCTCCATTGTGATGTCCTCTTAGAAACTTGACAATAAAATCTCTTCACCACTGGGACAAACACTGATGTTTCTCTGTGTTTCAAATGGAGATGAAAAGAACAATGTCTGATTTGTTTATCAGCAATCCCTCTGTGATAACTTTCACTGTGTTCCTTTTAATATTTTGCTGTTAACTTCAGTGGGGCCAGGATTTCCCCCACATTCTCTGCCTAACAGTTACTAGGTGAGACACTCATTTTAAAAAATGTGATATGTGGTAAGTGGATCTGACCTGTCCCTCTCATCCATGAAAGGAAATGAGACAGTTTCATAATGATATGTGGCAGGGCAGAGGGAGAGGAAGCCCCAAAAGGAAGTGAAATGGTTGACCCGGAACCAATGCTATGGCATAAGGAATTTTCAAGCTCCTTCCCGATGAAAGATGGAGCAGCTGGTCAGAGTCCTGAATGTGGCAAGAATATCATTATTTGGCAAATGCAAGATTCCTGAGCTGATAAAGCTTCGGAAGAGCCTTTTCTAGTTCATCTAGCAGCTCTTAGAGTGCTTCAAATCCCTCCAATGCTACCTTAGTCACTGCCATACTAATATTCAAGAAAACTGGTGTGGAGTAAATGACCCAATGTCCCAGATGAAGAGAGATCCAGGCTCTTATCAATAACTGAAATGTTCCTTGAGATCACCCCTTCCCCAGCCTCCTCAGAGTCTTCTTATCCATTAGCACAAAGGGGACTGTGGCCTGGTCTCTCTGACCACAATTGGACCACCCCCCAATCAACCTATATGAGGTCAATTTATTAACTCTCCTCACCTTTTTTGAATACCAACCATTGGGAACTGTACAAAAATTGTAATGACTGAAGAGTTTTGAACTGCATCATTTCCAAAATATCCCTATATCATGAGCAGTAATTGAAGACTTCTGTTAGTGGCAAGGGACTGTTTACTCAATCAATTATTGCCCAGTTTGAAGTAGATGAATTGGAATGGGAGCAATTAATAAAAGGCAAAGAAAGCAGAGCAATTAGATCTAACAGGATATGAACTCTTGGGCAATGGCTGCACATCTTTGTGCAGCCACAAAGCCTAAGTCATGCACCAGTGGCCCAGGAATGTGCACCCTATTTCAGCATGGTGCTTAATTTCTATTTGAAACATGCTCCACATTTGCTGAATTTGGGCTTCTCTCCAAGACACTTGACTGCAGTCCAGACTCGATATTTATTTTGTGGTGAATACTTAATAATATGAATAGAGATGAATGTAAGACAGTAAATACAGATTTGCATCTGTCAGGGGAGGATTTGGGCCTGGCTCTTGTTATAACTTTCTATCATCCTTTATTTTTAAAAAAATCCCAATGCTGGGGAGGACATGAAAATAAAGGGCCAGATCCTCAGATGATTTAAATTGTCTTAGCTCCAACAATTTCAGTGTCAACATACCAATTTACAGCACTTGAGGACCAGAACCAAAAAAATCTACGTCAAACAGTAACAACACACTTTAAAGGACTGGAATGATAAAAGGATTTGAGACCAGAGTCTCATAGAAATGGAATCCTTTGGTACAACGCACTACCATCATGAGAAAACAGGGAGCCATTCCTAGCTTGCGGCAGCAGTGTCCAACCTGTGGCATGGCCCCAGAGGCCTGACATGGTGTCTATCAAGGGTGACTGTTAGGAAGAACATGTGTATTTGATTATGAATGGGAAGTGTGCTCCTTGAGCCATACACAGTGATTTTTAATCTGAAATGTCTGAATCAGCCCTGTTGATATGAGGCGGAAAGAGGGGACACCACCTCCTCAACTGCCTCCCCGCAGCTCTAGGAGCAGCCCTGGTGTGGGCCCAGAGGGATCTGAGCATCTACTGTTCCTTCCCTATTTTGGTTGCTCAGCAGTTTCCCTGTTGGCCATCATCTATACTGCATGAGAGGAAAGTAGTTTTGGCTACTCCGTTGTTGCTTCCCTGACAGGCTGTGGAAGCCCAAGAGAGTGCTTTACTGGCACTAGCTGATCCCAGGGGATGGCTCTCCTCACCCACACCAAGAAATCCAGGAGAGGAGGAAAAAGAGTCACAGCTGAGAACCAACAACCAATTATGGGTCCCAGATTCTCTGCTCCAGTACAGCCTAAGGACTGTTCTAACTTGCCCCAGCTGTCTATGGTGCCTTAGAGACCATATGCCAGCTGAGGCTAGCTGGAGTGCAGAGCATACCAATCACCCTTATACATAACCCATGCACTAGGGGCTGTCAGAAGGGAGGTGAAGGAGTCAAATATGCTTATTCTGTGCCTACTGGGGTCTCCCCCATACTGAGGGAATCCCCATCAGGGGACTTGTAAGTGGCTTCTCTTCCCTTTGCACCACAAATGGAGTGGAGCATGCGAGAGAATATGTCCTAAAATCTTAATTTGGGGCCCCTTGCCTTTATGAAATAACATATTTGGCGCTCAGGCAGAAAAGGTTGGACACCACTGGCTTGTAGGAACCTATTGGTGGTGGGGCAGGAGTAGCCATGAGTTCCCTGCATTCCTTGCCTTATATATGGGAGTTGGGACTTTTGAAGTGCCAGGGCATGAGTATCACAGGCTCTTTTCCCCACTGAGAGCTCCTTCTCTTGCTTCCTACTGAGTTGCAGCCAGCACTCATGGAGACACTCTTCACAGGCTTGCTCTTATCTCTGGCAGGCAAGCCCCAGAGGAGGCACAGGTGGCCCTGGGGCTCTATGCTGGATTATTTCAGCATCAAATTGAAATATGAATACAATATTTGTATGCAGGGGTCAACATCTGCGGTATGTGGCATATATGTCCATTTCCCCTCATGCTGCTTTCTCCTTGTGTTCTAACACTGAGGAAGAACAGGGGCAGGTGGGTTTTTTCACTAGTATCAATCAGAGCACGTTCCTGAGCAGCCTATGGCTGTGTAGATAGGTTGTTTTCTAGAGGACCTTGCTCCCATTCTGTAACATCTGAATGGGCGGGCACTGGGTCAGAGATTGGTCTGTAAACTTAAATTATCCAAAGCTCACTGTAGCTTTCCTGTGTATTGATTCAACAAACATGTACAGTTTAGATGAGATTCACCCCTATGCAAACAGCCTGCAAGAGGTATGCACCACTTAGGTCCCATTTACTTTTCAGGTCTTAATTAGGATTGAAGTGGTGTATAGGCTTTGTCCTGGTTGTCCACAGAGGGGTGAATGTCAATGTCTGTGAAACCAAATAAATGGGGCAAATTAATTCACCAGCACACTTTGGCTGCTTTGTGCCACTCCAGCAACACAAAGCAGCTGGAAACGCAACTTAATTGACCAGTTAAACTGGGCTTTCAGCTGCTTTATGTAGCTAGCACAGTGCAAAGTTGCCAGAGTATACCAGTAAGTCTGGTCCAGTATTTTCAAATATTAAATTCTTTAATTAAAGTTTGTGTTCAAAAGGAAAGAGTAAAAAAATATGCTTAAGGGCTTTATGAATTGGTCCATTAGTAGTGAGTTCTTTCAGCAGATATTTGAAAGGTTCTATCAGCAACATTCACTAAAACCTTGGTCCATCTTGTGTTATTTTTTTCTTTTACCTTCGAGCAACAGTGTAAATCATATTTGTGAGAATGAAATATCTGCCTTATCCCAGCTGTAGCGTGAAACAGACAGAAACAGACAGAGCAAGTGGCAGTTTAATTTAAGATGAACAAGCGATAAGCAGAGAGCCATGGAGTAGATTGGATTTAATTAAAAGAGGGCATACTTTATCTTCTTGGATTATGTGAATGCTTTATTTTGTTTCCTCTTTCTCCCTCCTCCCCAAATTTTTCTTTGGAGCTGAATGAAAAGGATTAGCTGCCGTTAGAGAAATAAAAATGGAACTGACATGAGAGAGGCTTGGTCTACTTCCTGCATTTTTTTACTTGTGGAAAAGCAATATTCAATCTCATATTCAGAGGGGTCATCCAAGTCTACTGATGATCACCCCTCTCCTGATGACTGCCAGGGTCACAGTGTCATGTCTTTTAAAGCAAATAAACTGTACCCTCTCTATAAATATATTAACACACATTTCTTACAGTGATCTGGCTGATCTCTAATGACATCTATGGCATTCTTTCCACTATATGCACAGTACTGTACAGGAAAACCCTCCCCCTCCATAATGTACATATGCATCTGGGCACCCTCCCACCCTTTCCCCCAAATTCACTTCTAACATGCATTTTATGTTCACTTTACAGTTGTTCAGCACATCAAACGACACAATATTGTTCTAAAAAGAGAGCTGGGAGAAGGAGCCTTTGGGAAAGTCTTCTTGGCCGAGTGCTATAACCTCTCTCCGGAGCAGGACAAGATCTTGGTGGCGGTGAAGGTAAGAGAGTCTAGGATTTCCATTGTTAATTCATGGTTTCAACTAATGCTGTTTTTTTTGTAAATGATCCTGTTTGCCTGTTCAGTAAGCCCAGTGTAACTCCTGTGATATATGTGCAAGGGCTCACAAGGCTGATGGAATGTCAAGAGAATATGATATTTGATCTTGCTGTGGGTTATAAAATGAGAGCTGAGTTTCATAAAGAAAAGCGGGGGAAATGACAGTGTCACAATGGGGCAAAATCTTTTATGATCTATCTGAAATACGAGGAGTGAAAAATAATGGCAGAAGTGTCATTAAAAATACATGGGGACTCCTGTTCGTATGTCTAAAAAAAACCCTAAACTATAACCAGCTACATGACTAGGTTACACATGTAACTGCTAGTCAACAAAGAGCTATTCACAAAGGTTCATGTGGTTCTTAGTCAACTGCCAAAATTTTACAATATCACTTCCTGGCCTAAACTTTTGGGTAGAATTGTGGTGTGCTCTTAAGCTGCTGCTATGTTGAAATCCAGAAGTGACTGCATTTCAGTGCTGGAAGGGGAATTCTTGGTTATAGGTCTCCATTCTGCCCTTCCAAAGAAAAACCAATGGGAGGAGGAAAACTAAGGAAAAAACAGCAATAACTATGAAGTTGCTGATATCTGGAATTATTCTCCCCTTAGAGGGGAGGAAGAGTTTATCACCATCACAGAAAGGACCGAACTGTGCAGAGCCCCGTGCTCCAGAGGGAAATAAGGGGACATCCCCACTGATCTTGGGGCATCTGTACAGTAGCTAGGCTACTCCACAGACACTCTCCTGCCAAGCGGCGGAGCTCCTGAGGATGGTTCCCAATCCCAACTGTGGATGTACAGTAGAAAACATAGTTAACTAATCCTCACTAATTTCCACTCCAAATTTTGGAGTCTGCTGGGGGCATCTTGTGAAAAAGGCAGTTCCTCTCCTTATACCCCCACCGTTGTTCTACCAAAACACACAAGGTTTTGAATGTGAAAAGTAAAAGCCCCATTAAGGTCATTGGGACTATTCATGAACGTAAGTTTTTGCAGAGCTGAACCATGAGTTAGGGAACAGAAACAATACCATGTGACCCATTTGACCATTCACAACGAAACAACTATGTGCAAATTTTGAATATTCATGATCCGTCCATAGAGTAAAACATCCCAGCAGATCTTCTTCATGTAAATGTAAACAACAAATAGATTTGAGTAACTTGCAATGTGGAAGCAGGAAAGGAGGCTAGATTTGTCAAATGAATAATTTCTTGCAAACATTCTCTGAGTTTGTTAAGCTCACGGGTCTATGGAAGCTTGCAGGTCTTTGCAGTAGTTTAATAAAATGGATGGAAAAAAAGAAAATGTAGCCCTGAAAGGATATATCAGAGGGAGGGAGGAAGTGAGGGGTTACAGATTACAACCTTAGGATAAGTGAATAATAACAACAATGCATAGCTCTTATATAGCACTTTTCATTCATTGTTTTGTGGAAGAGGTGAGATTGTTTTCTGACCAATTGATTAATAAATCCACACTTCCTCTCTTTTCACTCACTTAGCAGTGCAGTGGCATAATCAGCACCTTTCCATTCTCTTACTCCCTTTGTCAATCCTGAACGAATGGAGCCCAACAGGAAGTCACTTCAGGTGCTGTTTAAACGCTGCCTGCCCACTCCCTTCTTTGCTGCTCTTTCTCACTGCAGCTCACAATGAAGAGTACCCAAGACTTTGAGGGACAGGTGTCTCCATGGATTAACGGACACAATTGTGTCAGTTCACAGCACCAGGACTGGTACAAGGCCTTATCACAATCTATACTTGGGGTAGTGCTTATTAGCCATCTGACTGACAACCAAGGAAAGAATCTAAGCCCCATGTTCCATGGCATAAGCTACCATCTAACTGAATCGATTAGGAAGAAAATTTTTTTGGGGCAGGCTATTCCCTAATTGCCCATTTGGGAGTTCTTACTCCTTTATCTGAATTATCCAAAACTGCCTGCTGTCAAAGAAAATGTTGGACTAGGGGGACCAAAGTTTTCACCCAGTATGGCAATTACCGAGTTCCTATTAGAGTTTACATTCTCTTTACTTCTGTGCATATGATAGAGCAAGGTCCTGCTCCCACTGAGGTCAATGGTAAAACTCCCATTGATTTAAGTGGGAGCAGAATTGGGCTCTGAGGGAAATGTATCTTGAGGCAAGGTTCAAAGTACAATTATGGTATTTCTACCTTTCAGAGTTGTGGATAATTTAGAAGGATTTCACACCAGTAAACCTAGGAAAACCCCCTTGGGACTGAGAACAAACTAAAAATGTTCCTGTGAAAAAGCTTCTACCATCATAATTGAAGTGCATATTTGGTGACAAATATGTCTATCTCTGGAGGATTTAGGCAGCAAAGAAACCGAGGAAGTTGGCCCAGGGGTGAGCATCTTCTCACCTGTGTGAAATTGTTGTCACAGTTTCTTTTCATTCATTGGAGGCTCCTCTGGATCTTTGACATGCCTTCTGCTGGTTGCTGGGCAACCATAACAGCATTGTGCATGCATGTTAAGAAATAGCTGTTCTTGTGCCTTATAGAAGGAATTGGGTCTGACTCAAAATACAGCACTATCCTTGTGGGTGGACAAATATTTTAAAGTTTGATATTGATTCAGCAAATGATTTCAGAGCTCAGAGATTCAGAAAAATCTGGTTGTAGATAAAATCATATACACATCCAAATATCCATGCTTCTTCTGTTGAAAATAATACTATTTTTTGAGCCAGTTAGGTTTCATATATTTTGACCTCTAGGTTTTTTGGACAGTGCACGGTGTACAGGAACTCTTTCTGTGTGCCAGATCCTATGCACAAAAGACTTAAGTGAGATGTAAATGGTGCATAAGCCTTGTACGAGCCCTCTGTACATGGGGGGGCTATTCACTGCAAGGCAGTTCCAGCGGGTTTGGTGAGTGGATGGAGGAACAGTCACATGCCCCTCTATGCCACATTGCCACTCCAAACCACTACTGCAGACTTAGGGTTGCAGTACCCTCCCTAAGCCACTATCATGGGACTAGATCCATGGGCATAGGCTTGGATTCACTTGAATCCACTAGAGTCAGATGGAGGGAATTCCTGTGGAGCACAAGTCTGCAGCTGCTTCCTGGTCCTCTTGAACCCATGGGGGTGGAATGGGCACACGTGCCTCATATTATTTTGAGCAGCTGGATGTTTAAGTCTTGATCCTGATCTCAGAAACTCAGATGCACCTCACATATATTTTAGGCTGCAAGCTTGTGGTGCGATTCCTCTGTTTGTGTGCATGTCCTTGTGCGCTCTCTCATTAAGACTCAGGTGGGTTTGTATTTGGAATGGCTAGGCTGTGTTTCTGCCGCCACTACCGTGGTTATCCTGCTATTTATACAAGCTAGCACAAGTATGTGTACATGAGCTGGGGAATCACACCCCTCGCTCGTAGTGCAAATGTAGCCTTAGAGAGTCAGCTGCTTCACTTGCATAGCCAGGCATGCGTAAGTGGAGTAGCTGATTTTATGACGCAAGTTCCTGCTATTTCTGATCTCAGGATTGAATCATATAGATGGCAATTTGGTTGTAGATTTTTGTTCCAGTTAGAGAAATTCTGCCTGTACAATACACAGAACCACAAACACAACACAAAAGAAACGTGAGGATTTTCAGCTCATCAGATCTCCCCAGTTCAGAGAGGTTTTTAAATCAAACCAGACTTTGTAGTAAATACACGACTTAACTTGTTGCATGGCATAGGGAGGGACGGTGAACCCAATTAACAGTGATAAGAATCTCATGGTGAAAGCTCAGTGCACTGTGAAGGAAACATATCTATAGAATTTTGTTATTAATAACATTAGTAGTAATAATAATTATAATGATAGCCAAACCCTCCAGTCCTTGCTTATGGGTAACCACTGTTCCCCCTGTTCCCCCTGCTTTTGTGGGCATGCATTACAGCTCCACTGCATAGTGATGCAGGGTGGGGGAGGATATCAGAAGTCATTGTAACAGGTTCTGCACCGTGCACCATGGAGCACAGACCCAGAAGGGCAATTTCCAAGATGTTTCATGAATGAGGGCTTGGGTTGGGTTAGGGGAAGGGAAAAGTGTGGCCAGTGGATCCATGACTGAACAGACTCTTATCTGTGACAATTCAGGGTGCAGCAGATGTGGGGCTTTTGCAACAGCCATGGAGCAGCTCTGCTGTCTGTGGGGAAAGATCCCTTCTTCCCCGGTTGACTTCAGGGGAAGTTTTGCATGCAGAGATTTGGCCTCTTTGTCACTAATAATGAATTCATCTTTATCTCAATTTCTTTAAGACTCTTCTGTTTCCCCACTACAGTGAGAACCAGCCAAATGCAGTATTCTGTGTCATTTGTATGTAAATTCTGTTTGCTTATTAATTTTTGCTCACCACCAGTATCTCCATGCACAAGTGTTAGCTCTCTCTAATGCAGTAAAGTTATTGTGTATGTTACATAGGGGGAAACATGAGGGGCAAGTTGGGGAGAAGTTCAAGCAACCCCCATGGTAGCAGAAACTCTCAAGTCGACCCAGGTTTTAAGCCATTATTCATTCTGCTGGTTGACGGAAAATGTGTAGTTGCCATAGCAACTGTTTCATCCTAGGATAATTTTGCAGCTTCTCGGAGATAAAAAATAGTTTCTGAAACACACAATATGCCATCTTGATAGAACAAAGCTGTCAGCATTTTTACAATCTTCCCAAGGAAACGTGTGATGAGGAAGCACATATTTCCCCCAAATTTTATTTTTTAAATTAGTCCTCATAATTGCTTGTTTTTAAAAACTGTTTCTACAATGAATTATTTTTTGAGAGCTGTTATATTGACAATTAGTTGAATGAGGGCCCAACTACATTACAGATAAAATCATCACAGGAAACCACATTGTGACGCAGTTGTCCCCTGTAATTCCATTAGTTGCTGTAGATTAGACCTTAGCTCTGTTTCTGTACTACTCTAAAGTCCTGAACAATCTCATAATGTGTTATAACTTGGTCCCATAATGTGACTGTTCTGTGTCAGCAGATGGAACCTGAGTTTATGTTGCTATTAGATGACTTAGCTCCATATAATGATGTTGTATAACGGGTAGGTAGTGCAGCAGCTAAAAGCCATATTGCACCTGTGAGAGATAGGGCAACTATCTGCAATATCTTCGGGGGACAATATTGTCTTAAGTGTAAATGAATGGCTTGTGTATCACTGTGAGCCAGGGATTGTATACATTCCGTGAAGGGAGGATTAACACAGCTCTTCCATTAGTGAAAACAGTAGAGGATGATTAAGGCAAATCACTCAGGTTATTACACCTCCAGAAAGGTTCAAAGGATTCTCCAGAGACCGACAGGCAAAGAAGGGACTCTTGTATAAATAGCCTGATCTTAAACTGACTCGGGGCCTTCATTTCTGGTTTCTGATCTAAAGAGTGATATGAACTTGTAACCACAGGGAAAGCCCCATTGTGGGGTTTGAATGACTGGCACCTACTAGAGCTCTATGCTGCAGTTAGGGTGATCTATGCTAAACTTTTTAATATGCACGTAGGTTTTTTGATTGTTTTGGTATGTTTTCCCAGCAATGCTTTCACCTTAAGAACAAATGTGCTTGCTGAGAAGGAGGTGTGTGGTGATTTGTAACTGCTGGCAGTACATAGTGCACAGCTCTATGAAGAGAAAGCAAAGCGCGAGCATTGGTCTTCTAGGCAGATTGGCTTGCTCGGGCTATCACAAGGTAGATCAGGGAGCTGTGCAGTCTTAACAGTCCTAGTCAGAAGGGAGTGAGATGTGGGGCTCCACTGAAGAGAAGTGGCGGCAGGGAAGCCAGAAACTTTTAAGTGGGTGCCTTTGAGGGACCACAGAGGGGGAAATACAGGTGCAGTTACCCTGAAACTGTGACATCACCCTCTTCTGGTAATACTTGTGGGAGAGGGACACTTGTCTCAGAAAACACAATGAGGTTCAGAAATGCTCCTCTCAGGTAAGAAATGTTTGTGGGGTCATAGCGGAGGTAGAGGAGTGGTCTCCAAAATCTGCAGATCCTGGGATTTATAGGGAAGAAAACCCCCAACTTTGTAGAACCTTCAGGCTGGTGTCCAGCCTTTCTCTTTCCATCCCACATCGCCCGACCATCTGATCCTTATTATAGTAGCATTTCACTTTTTTTTAAGTGAAATACATTTGGTCTCTGCTTAACTTTAAGCATGTGAGTATATGCATTGAACTCAAACTGAGTCTTTGATTGGGGCCTTAGTTTTTAAGCTGTTGTGCAGAGAGATGACCACCTATAAGTCTGCAAAATGTTTAACTCAATTTTGATGCCAAACAGCAATAACAACAACAATAAAACAATTAATTAAAACACCTACAATTATGCTAAGTATTTTAGGAGGACCAGTTCTTACTTCAAAGAACTTACAATACTCACAGGCACCAATTCCAGATTGGGGTTTTACACTAATGTAAAGCAAAAGAAACTCAGGCCCTTTGTCTACTGCTAAGATCTTCGAGGCAGGGACTGTGTTTTTGTTCTATGTTTGTCCAGCACCTAGCAATGGGGTCCTGGTCCATGATTGGGGCTTCTACAAGTTACTGCAATAGAAATAATTAATACAGTAGAACCTCAGAGTTACGAACACCTCAGGAATGGAGGTTGTTCATAACTCTGAAATGTTCGGAATTCTGAACAAAACACAATGGTTGTTCTTTCAAAATTTTACAACTGCACATTGACTTAATATAGCTTTGAAACTTTATCATGCAGAAGAAAAATGTTGCTTTTAACTATCTTAATTTAAATGAAACAAGCACAGAAACAGTTTCCTTACCTTGCCAAATCATGTTTTTTAAAACTTTTTCTTTATTTTTTTAGTAATTTATGTTTAACACAGTACTGTACTATATTTGCTTTCTTTTTTTGGTTTCTGCTGCTTCTTGATTATGTACTTCCAGTTCCAAATTAGGTGAGTGATTGACTGGTCAGTTCGTAACTCTGGTGTTCATAACTCTGAGGTTCTACTGTAATAATAAATATGTGATGAAATATAGCAGAGGAAATACTATAAAAGTCTGTACTTTACTTGGATCTAGATCTGATATTTATAACCAGTGACACCAAAAATGTATTTTCTCTGTCCCTGACATAGTACTGCACCCTCATCTCCCCCCACCCCCACCACGTTCTTTATGTTTTACGTATCCCTTTCCATTTCTTCTCCAGACACTGAAAGATGCCAGTGATAATGCTCGGAAAGACTTCCATCGAGAGGCAGAATTGCTGACTAACCTACAGCATGAGCACATTGTGAAGTTTTATGGCGTGTGTGTGGAAGGTGATCCACTCATCATGGTTTTTGAGTACATGAAGCACGGAGATCTGAATAAATTCCTCAGGTAAATTCATGAAGGTGTTTCATTCTGCATAGGTGATAGTGGGCAGTGTTTCTGAAACCTGGGGAGAGGGAAAGTGTCTCAGAGCCAGGGCTCCAGCCCAAGTGAGAACCTCTGCACTGCTATTTTTAGCCCTGCAGCCCAAGCCCCATGAGCTCACGTCAGTTGACAGAGGCTCTCAGTGCCGTGTTTTCTTTGCAATGTAGACATACCGTAAGAATGAAAACCTGATAAACACCCAGTTAATTCACATTTTGTGATTTTATGTCTTGCCTCATCAAGTATTTTACCTATTTAGAAGTATCTTTAAATCATTTCTTTACATTTTTTACATTGTACCACATGGATTGTATTCCAGTTCCCTTGGCCATAGTTTTCCACGACGAATTCTGCAGATGGTGCTTGTTTATAAAACTTTGAGGTCTTGGCTAAAATGGTATCTGATTCCAAATCATCTTTGGTTTTGCAAATCCAAAGCTTGCCTAATGAAGTTTGGCAAAATCCAACTTATCTTGTGTTTCTTATTTCTCTCTGGTGCTGGGCCCAAATGAAGACCCTGGATGGAAACACCCCTGAACTTTGGGGGAGTTTGGATCCAGATCTGCATTTTGCAGCCCATCCCCTTTTCAATCTCTATTGTAAACTTGCAGTATTTTTTACAGCATTTCTCACCGCTTCTTTTGCTGCAGAAAGGCATTTGATCAAGCTTTTCTTCTGCAAAAGAATACTTTAGGTGGAGCAAGCAAAGGGGAAAGGAAAATGCAGTAACAACAGAAAGAAAACATTAAACTCCAAAAATAAATCTCTTGTATTGGAGCATAAAAGATCTAAGGAGCAAAAGACAGTCAGTAGTACATTTCAAAAAAATCACTCTTTACTGTACTTGTGACTTATAGTGTAGGGTAGAGAATCACATCATGTAATTTCTTAATTTATAAAAGATGAGCCAAAACTGAAATCTCAGATCCACATCTGAGATGGAAAAAAATTACAAGAATTTCAAGAGAGAGGAAAGTTTATTCCCAAAATCCACAGCTATTTTATGGCTCTGTTTCAGATTAGATCCAGGAATTGGGTTTGGGTTTGTTTCTTGATTAGAGAGTTCCACACTGGATGTAGGCGAAATCTTACAAGATAATAGACATTTGCAACAGCGTTTTTTCATGAAATTTCTACCTCTTGGGCCTGAAATCTCGTGAGAACAGCTCACAAGAATTTGGTGCTGTTGAATCAGAAATCAGACCTTAAAGATTATCCCTGATTTAAACTCAAATGCAAACCTCAAACCCAGTGCAAACCTAATCTAGAACTAGATCCATACATTCAGCCTATTTCTGGAATTTATTATTTATGTTTGTGTTCCTGGATAGATGTTATGACTCAAATATAGACCTAAAGGCTTCAGTGCCTTTACACCGGTTTAAGTTGGGTCCGAGGAGAGGATGGTAGAACTGAGAATGTGAAACTCAGTTACAGTAAACAAACTATTTCTTTTATTTTGAAGAGTATAATAACCATTTTTAACATTTACATGATTTTAGTACCATACTTTGTATTCTGCTGCTACTCTCTGCATATCCACCAGTTTATAAACAGCGACTATATTTCACGATGAGCTATGAATGTCCCTTTAAGAAACAAGAATCTCATCTTAACCAGCAAGGTCACCCTAAGCTTGATTAAGTTTTTCAAAATTGGAAAAGGTCATTCTGTTGCTCTTTGTTGCCCTTGATTCTTAACTACACAGTATGGGGCTGGGGGAGAGGGCAAGGGTGGGGACACAAGAAAGAATATTTTGTGTTTCAAATGTATAGAGTTATAGAGTTTAAGGCCATAAAGGGGCCACCAGGAGACTAAACTATTATGTGCCCCAGGCAGAAAATAGGTGTGACTGAGGTGCAACAATGCCCAAGGCCTCTGCAATGAAAGGGAATTGATTAATATACCCAGCTAATACCGGCAAGTGACCCACACTCCATGCTGCAGAGGAAGGTGAAAACCTTCAAGATCACTTCCAGTCTGACCTCGGAGAAAATTCCTTCCCAACACCACATATAGCAATCAGTTACACGCTGAGTATGGGTGCAAAAACCAGGCAACCAAACACCTGATGAGAAAATGCTCTGTGCTGACTCAGAGGACTGGCCCTCCCGATCCAGTGTCCCATCTCCAGCTGTGGCCATCTCTGATGCTGCAGAGAAAGGAGATAACCCCCCCAAAATATTCCAGAATACATTGGGGGTGTGTGTGTGAATGAAATCCCTTCCTGACCCTGTCAGGTGACCAGTTTAAGCCAGGAAGAATGAGCTTTTAGAAATGTAAGACATAAACCAGAAGGGAGCCCTGGGACTGTTGAGCCCTGCTACCCGCCATCACAAGCAACCCAATCATACAATTCCACTCATAAATTTGTCCACCTCTCTATTAAAAGTAATTAAGTTGTTTGCCCTCACAACTCCTATTGGGAGGCTGTTCAAGAATTTCACTCCTCTGATGGTTAGAAACTTTCTTCTAATTTCCAGCCTGAATTTGTTCATGCCCAATTTATACCCATTTGTTCTTGTGCCAACATTGACCTTTAAGTTAAATAGCTCTTCACGCTTCCTGGTGTTTACCTCCCACCACCGATGTATTTATAGAGAGTAATCATATCCCTTCTCAGCCTTTGTTTTGCTAGACTAAACAAGCCAAGCTCTTCCTGTCTCCTCTCATAAGATGGGCCCTCCATTTTCCTGATCATCCTAATAGCTCTTCCCTGCACCTGTTACAGTTTAAATGAATCGTTCTTGAAAATGGGTGACCAGAATTGTACGCAGTATTCCAGAGGAGGTCTTACCAATGCCTTGCACCATGGCATTAATACCTCTGTATCTCTACTGGAAATGCCTTGCCGGATGCATGTTTGGATCACATTGGTGACTCATAGTCACCCTGTGATCAATCAAAACACCCAGGTCTCTCTCTAAGTGACTTAGGATCCTACGTTCCCTTTTCAAAAGTGATTTAGTCCATTAAGTGTAATGCGACTTAGGCCCACAAGGACAAGCTTTCAAAGGTATTTAGGTGTGTATGAAGATGCAGATGAGCTCCTAATGGTGCACAGAGGTGCTTTTGAAATCCCACTTGGTGCCTGTCTGCATCTTTAGGCACCTAAATACCTTTGCAAATCTGACCCATAACTCATTTCAGTACTTTTGCAAATTTTACCCTTTATCTATAACAATACAGTTATGAATAAGGATTGTTCCATTAGGGGCCAATTGCTGAATCCTGTGTGTTGTCACAAAGGAAGCATTAGATAATACTAATGATCTAGTATGGTAGAGTAATATTGCTCGTTCTTGATTTGCCTCACAGTGTGCAGATTTGTAAGGATATGCAGTGATGTGCATCTGGGTATCAAAGATTGAAATCAACTCTTTACTATGTAGAGCTGCTATCATAAATTAATAGGTGCTGCCAAAAATAACTCATGGGCCAGCCCAAGAATCTGTTGGCCTTGTGCATGTACTCTGTACACTAGTACATGCTGCCCCACATAATAATAAACAAGCACAGAATTTGCTCTTAAGTGAAAACATTTGCATAGGGGACAGCAAATTCTGCAAAGTCTTCCTGATAGTTTCCAACACCTTGTTCCACCAGAAGGGTGAGGGTGTCCGATTAGGCCTTCTGAACCTACCAGTTCCAGGGATCTACTGGAGCCAGTGCCATCTGCATAGACGCTATGTTACCATCCTGCCTCCTTCCACCACAGCAGCTTGCCCACATTTCCCTGTTGGGATAGCCCTGGTAAATCTGACAGGGTTTCCCCAGTGTATAAAGTGCCCTGGGAGCCTTTGGTTCCACAGTTAGAGACTGGCTATATGAACTATAAATCAGATTTTTTTCTCTGGGGGAGATATGCAAGCTACTTGCTTCACTTTTATGGCCCTTCATTGCCTATCCCCACCCTGTCTATAACCTCTTCTTCTGAGACATTGACGCCACCTCCACTCTGCAAATGATGCCAGTCTTGACTGCCTGTTTGTAAAATTTCAACATTAAAACAAGCTGAAATTGTAGCTGCTTATTAGTCATCATTTGAAATATTTATGTATTTGTTTATGTATTTGCTGATTAGATATTGTTTTATAACTCCTGCACTCTGGTTTTGAAATATCTTAAGTAATACAGCTTAGCAGATAGTATATGTGCTACATTGGGGCGGTTTTATTAATAAGACGTATTTAGAACATAAAATGATTACGTTGGGACAAGCTGGTTAATCTGAACTTAAATTTGTCATTCCTTTCACATTTGTTACAGCTTGTACTGCAGATGAAAGGTTAGTTGTAATCAGTCTGTAAAAGAGCATCTATTTCTTACCCTGCAGCGCCACCCAAGGCCGTCAGGGGAAACTGAATCCAGAGTTTAACCAATGTACGACCAAACTGAGTATTGCTGCTTCCTGCAGCATAATGTCGTGTTTCAGGACTAGGACCGCATCCTGAAGGTCAAAAGCTTCCCTGTGTGTACCGTTGTGGCATAGGAGGGATGATGTAGATCAGGCGGAGTCTATGCTACTGTCTCTTACAGCTGTGCATTGCTGGAGATAAGGATTTCATGATTAACTAGGAAGATAAGCAAGATGGGTTCAACATTTAAAAAATGCAGAAGTTTAATTAGAAAAGAAATATGTGGTGAAAGGCAAATAGTTTTCTAAATTAGTAAAGATCTGCAGCTTCCTTCATGAGGAGGCCTATTAAAAATCTGTGTGATGAGGATGTACCGTACTTTTCATTATGAATTCACATTTGGGTTTTAGCCTGGGATTTCACATCCTGCCTTTACTCCTTTAACTGCCACCAGTTGCACAGCTGTCCATGCTCCATGGCAAAACATGTGCAGCTAGCTTTTCTGTAGTGCCAGCTGCAGTCCCAGGAATGTAACAAACCTTCCTTCATTTAGCTCCCAGATCTGTCACTTCAGCTGTGAAGTTTTTCTCCCTCCCAGCAATTTTTATATCATACTTCTGGTAGGTAGTATCATAATTTGATCTTGGGGATTTTGATTAATTTGCAAACCTTTTCCAAGCTCCTATACCCTCCTCCCAAGGATGAATTAAGGCTAAACATAACCCATATTGATCCAGAGCGTTTGTTTGGGGTGAGGAATGGGGTCTATGGGAAATCAAATCACTGAGTGGGGGAGGGTTGTTTAAAAAAAAAGAGGAGTGAGGGGAGAAGTTGGCCCATTTGGAAGGTCAAACCTACATATGTGGAGGGAAGGTGCTGCTGTGGAATAAAATAATGGGGCAGATTGGAGGAAGGGTATTCAGAATGTTGAAGCACATCAGGGTGGGGGATGATCAGGGCCCACTGACCTCTTTAGTCTTGCCTTAATTCACTGTTAGGGAATGGCGAGTAAAGCTTGCCCTAAAACAGTGTCAGTAATTACAACAGAGAAATTATATATATGTATATTTGGTTGTGCCACAACGAGCTATCAAGGACATGATCCCTGCCCCAAAGAGCTTTGTAATTTCTCATGTGAATGGGCTGATCAGTTTGTGCTAAGGATTTGCTGTACTTCAAAGCAAACCTAGAACCAGTGAAAGAAACCCAGCTTTCTGATCTGGCATGGCTGTGCCAACTGGAATGAGTTTTGTGAACTGTCCCCTGTGCATCAGGTGGGATTCACCACCCATGGGAAAGTCAACAAAAGGCACCTGGGATTGGTGGAACTACTTCATGTGGATGGTAAATTAAGGGTGAAAATCTGAAATCATTCCTCTTATTTCTTTTTTGTGTTCCCCAGAGTAAAGTTAGCTCTCTCACCTTAAATTAAATGATAATAATAATTATTATAATAAAAACACGTGTGTCATGTCCCATCTCCCTGTGGAAGGGGATATTAGGCTTTAGAAAGAGGGAAGCAAAATGATGTTACTGCAGTGGCCTTTCACCTCTAGAGACCTAAGTATAAATCCTGTCTTTGATGTTCTCCTGCTGCCATACATTTAGAATAACTGGCAGCCTTTGCCCAGGAAAGGCCCCTGTGCTGGAACAGCAGGGGCATAGCAGATTAGGATGGGATGTAATGTTATTAGTCCCAGTTCCTTACTTTCATGAGCAATATATTCAACCACCTCTCCTCCTCACCCTGAAAGAAAGAAAAAACAGGGAAGGAAAAAAACACTGAGACAAATTCATTCCTACCACACATGACTTTAGCCCATCACCTTTAAATAAGCCACTATTACATTTTCAGATTCCCTAATGCCAACTCCACAGTCACTCAAGTTTATAAGTGACCTCTTATTTCATGAGCCCGTATTTTTGTGTGCTCAATGCAGGGCACATGGACCAGATGCAGTACTGATGGCAGAAGGCAACCTTCTAGCTGAGCTGACCCAGTCCCAGATGTTGCATATTGCCCAGCAGATTGCATCCGGCATGGTTTACTTGGCATCACAACACTTTGTGCATCGTGATCTTGCCACCCGGAATTGCCTGGTTGGTGAGAACTTGCTGGTGAAGATTGGAGATTTTGGAATGTCCAGAGACGTGTACAGTACTGATTACTATAGGGTAAGTGAACTGTCACTTTCAGGAGTAACTGAGGTCTTGTTCAGTCATCTTATCACATTGCTCATACTGATGCCACTTTTAAACTGGATTATTCGCACATCCTGGACCCTTAAAGAATTGGATATGGACGGTGAATCTGAGTTTTAAAGTTTGGTAAATTTGGAAGCTTCTGGCAAGAGTTGATGGAGAGTCCTTTTGTTTATGTATGCCTGCTTTAGTTTTCTTATTAAAAAGGTTTAAAAAATCCTTCAGAGGTCAGAAATTTGGCAAGTTTACTAGTCTGCAAAAAAGAAAGGGTATCTTTAAAGGGATGATAGTTGGTCAAATTTGGCCCAACACTTAGGTATTATAAAAATGTGTTCTTACAAATGTCTAAGACTGGTGGATTGCTTGAATGGATATAACCTGTAGGCAACAGCACTGTACCTATGAAAATTATTTCAGTCAGAAAGAGACAAAGACGAAGGCAGAACCCTTTATTGGTGATATGCTCAGCATCCAAAAAGAAATGCCTCATAGCTGACGATAAGCATTTCCTGTCTTAAACTGATTGTGTTTGCTTTGTTTCACTCTGATGATGGTTGCACTTCAGTGGCGGGTGAAGCAATCCTGGTATATATGTCCATACGCTGTCCAAGATGATTTTCATTGACATACACGGGAGTCAGAATTTATCTCAAGAGTTTAATTTTTCAAATTTGCAAAGGACTTTGAAAGCCTTATGGATAAAATGTACTGTATACTTTAATGATCAGTATTGGTGTTATGTGATAAATATCTCTGTCATCTCCACCTTAATTTAGCTGCTGATTCCATAAGAGGACAGAGCTGATTCTGCACAGTTGTTTGTGAGAGGCCTGAGAAGAGACTGTTTTTACATATGAGTGGGGCGGGGCAGGGCAGGCTACACACAGGAAATACTGTGTAGTATTTATATTTACTGAGTTGTTTTAATTAACAGCTGAGAACCACAAATCTTTTTGTTTTTGTTGTTTATTTCTTCCTTTTTTCAGTGCGTGAAACCTAGCTTTTAGTAAACATATGAACCAGATTCCTGTCACATTTTGTCTTTGGGAATCTGCTATTTCAAGCAATTTGAACATTGTAATATAAGTATGACATCATTTCAAAACTTGAAAAAACATGTACTGTAGTGGTTGTTGGCTATACAGCAGAGCCCTGTTTATCAGATCCAATTGGGACCAGGGCCAGATCAGATGATCAAAAATTCAGATAATCCGGAAAATGGGAAAGTGCGAGGCTGCAGTGCTGTCTAGCGGCCAAAGGAAAGATCGCCTGCTTCTGGACATGTATGCACTGGATGTTCAGTTACTATGGAGAGCCGGATAATGGAAAGTTGGATAAACAGGGTTCTACTGTATTTTTTTTATATCAGAGAGGATTACAGCAGGGGATTGCGAATCAGGATTTGTGGAGGTTCTTATTTACATCTAAAATATCAACACTACTTACTGTGACTCAGGCAAATCACCACTCTGTGCTTCGGATCACCCCATCTGTAAAATTGGTATAAGTGAACTTATTTACCTTACAGAACCATTGTGAATCTTGATAAGGTATGTTTGTAAAGCATGTCGACAATCTTAACTAGAAGGTGTACTATATTTTCAATGCCATTTTTCATTATAAGCACCTTTGTTTTACACTTGCTCTTGAGCAAAAATTGATGATTCCAAGCTGCAGAAGGGCAGATGGGAAAGGGTTGGAAACATGGATCTAATGCCATCAACCTCAAATGGGGCAAATCCAGACTTGGCACAAGTAGGTGGAACTTTATTGACTTTGATAGAGTTTTGCACACTTACACTACGTCTGAATTTGACCCACAGTGCATATTCTTGCCATATCTGTACTCAGGCAAAACTCCCACTGAAGTAAATGGGAGTTTACACAAAGGGCAAGATCCCACCCTGGATGGCCCCAGGCCTGCAGAGAGCACAGGCCACATAGCAATTGGAGTTAACAGGAGGAATTCTGGATGAGTCAGGAGGAAAAGTGAAAGTAAAAGAGTGAGTTGTGCAATAATAAATGTGGGTATGGAATGAATGAGGAGGGAAAGTAAGTCTGTGGAGAGGGATGAGTGACTGAAAGGGCAGACAAAATGTTGATGGCAGCAGAACGAATGGGGGATAGGGTAGGGAGAGATTCTGCCTATGGGCCGGATCCTCAGCTGGTATAAAGCAGCATGGCCCTGTTGATGTCGATGAGCTATGCCAATTTACATCAGCTTAGGGTGGGACACACAGATGTTGCCCTTGAGTTTGGGCAGTCATTCCTTCTGCACACTGAGAAGAAGCTCCACTGCTCCACACCCAGCAGTCTGTGGGCAAATGCAGAAGAGGAACAGGGTCATGGCCTGCCTCTCACCTCACCTTTCAGACTGTGGTAGCACGTCTGGCACTGCTAGTAAGGATCAGGGACTTCGTTCCCCAATAAGATTCTGGCCAGCCCTGCCCAGAGACATGGGGGGGCTAGTCATAATGGGGTCCTGAAAGGATCAGGTCAGTAGTGATTTGCCAGAGGGCTGCCCAAAGAATTATGGCAGTGGCGGGGATGGATAGTGACGCTGCCGTAGATGACGTTGGGGTGCCTCTGACCTCTGTTTATAGTCAGGTAAGTCTTTTTAACAGTTAAAGTTTAATTAGAAGTAGGGAGATGATTCTTCCCCTGCGCTTGACAGTTATATCGACAGCGAACTGGAGGGATTTATACTGCTCCAAAATGCACTGCAAGGAATGATTTGGCGCTTGCCAAAATCCACACAAGTGGGTATTACTCTGAGACAATTGGTCAATCAACTGAGATTCTAGGTTTGATCAGAGAGGATTGTTTTATGTTTGTTTAGTTAAATGACGATGGTCCTCAGCCCTTGCACACTGTCAGATTGCTAATGGCCTTCTGCACTGTGTCAGTGCAGTCATACAGAGATACTGCAGAGATGACTGTGGAGAGAAATAACGGTTAGCTACTGGCTAGTGTGTGTGCAGTGTGGCATTGGCTGCACAGGCCTTTATTTATTTATTTATTAATCGGGGTCTGTCAGGAATCTTGGTGGAGTGGGGGGGAGCAAGATAATTTAATTCGCTAGTACAAACGCTAACGTGTAATGAAACTGCAATAGTTTTCTAAAGCCAGACCAAATGAGCCTGAGGGCACAATGAAATTGCAATGGCTTTTCCTCCCTAGTGCCGTCACCCACCCAAGTCAAAATAGGACGACTAACAAGCAATTAGTTTGTCACCTGCTTTAAAGAGCTCTGCTGACACTCTGCAGAATTACATTCCATTTATAGCAGCACATCCTTGCATTGATTTGAAAGAGTCTGTATTTCACAATGGTTGGGGGCTTTTATTTATTTTGCTGATGTCTATTTTTTGTTGCTCACGCTCTCATCCCTTAAGACTTGGGGTTTCCTGTTTTTCTTTCTGACATCCATTTGACTCATCCGCACTCCTCTGTGACATGCTGTAGTGACATTGGATCATGGTTACAATCACTTTTCTGCGTATTCATTCCTGTACTCAGAGATACTATTTCAAACTATTTTATGCATCCACTTCAAGTTTGCAGGTACCTGCTCTGTACTTACATTTAATATACTTTTTTGTTTTATTTATTATAAACAAGAAAATAAGCAAGGAAGGTCAGCTTCTCACAGTTTCAGGAATAAGCTAACATGGATTTGTTTTAAATATAATGCCATTCCAACCTAATCAGAGATTTGCAGGATTGATACAGTGACTCTGGTGAAATCCTTACTGCATTGAGATCCATTGAGCATAGGCGTTATGTCATTGACTTCGCTGAGATCAGAATTTCACCCTCTGTCTTTATATGTACTTGTACAGCACAGTACACAGACAGGCCTTGTTCCTCATTTGGGCATCTATCAATAAAATATTAAAGGCTAGATTGTGATTAGCCCTTATGCAACCATACAAGGCATAGGGAATGAAGTAAGAACTTCTCTTCCCCACCTGCACGCCCACTAAAGAGCAAGTCAGAACTGCAGACCCATGTTCAAAAGAGCACAGGAGCTGTTACTGAATTGTTCATGCTTTCTCAGGAGCACCTGCCCAAAAAAGGGTGGGAAGGATCAGAAATTATTCAAAGCCATAGCAGCTAATCTGGCTGGCCATGTAGTGGAGCATATACAACACTCTAAGGGTATGTCTACACAGCAAAGAACAACCTGCGGCTGGCCTGTGCCAGCCAACTCAGGGTTTCAAGACACAGGACTGTTTCATTGCTGTGTAGACTTCCAGTCTCAAGCTGGAGCCTGAGCTCCAGGACCCTCCCATCCCCGCAGGTCCTATAGCCTGGGCTCTGGCCCAAGCCCGGAAATCTACAGAGTAATAAAACAGCCTCTCAGCCTGAACCGCAGAAGCCCGATCTGGCCACAGGTTTTTCTTTGCTGTGTAGACAAACTCGAAAAGGGATGTCACAAATTCCTCCCTCCCTTGAGCACTGAGGAGCTTCAAAGGCTCCATGCTAACAGTATAATCTAGTGTTTAATACAACAAGAACAACAACAATAATATTTAATAATAATAAATCTGTCAGGTGACATGGTTTCTCTGGCTTGACTTTGAGTGAGTCACTTAAAAGTGATCTGCAAAGGCCAAAAAACAGGGCTTGGGCCATTTTTGTTTCTTTTGATGTTTAAAGAGGGCCAGGAAGACTTTTTTGGAAAAAAAAAATCTGTTTTTTTCCCCTTGTTTCATATTTTTCATTTGACATTCAGGTCTTGTCTAGCCTAGTTGTGACTGGAGAACTAGTGAAATGATATCACGACTCAAAAAGCTGAGCAAGTGGAAATGGGAGCGATTTTTAAATAAAACTATAGAATTATTTGGGGTTTTGCTTTGTCTATTTGTTTTGTGTTAACTCCTGTTTAACTCCTATGGTAAATGAACACATTGGACAAAGGACACCTTTGTTAAAGATTAAATACTGCCTACCCCTTCAGTTAATGTGCA